TTACTTTGCTGAACATTATTGCTGTTTACAGTTTTTCTCTATCTATAATAATATTTAAGATAATAACCAAAAACTGCAAAATTTCCTCAAAATTACCAATTCAGGGGCAGCAACCCTACAACGGGTTGTCTGATTCGTCTGAAAATTTCAGAGCGGATAGATTTCAACCTGACCTGATAATCATTTTTAGCCCACGTCAGATTTGCTCTAAATGATTTAGTTTTAGAGATATAAGCCAAAAACTGCGTTTTACCCCTGTGTTCTATTTTTAGCCATGTCGGCCATGTTGGTTGGCAGGCGGGGTTATCGGACACATTTTTTAAACTAGATACCTTAATGATGATTGTGGCCAAGTTTGGTTAAATTTTGCTTAGTTAGTTTCAGAGGAGAAGATTTTTGTAAAAGTTAACGGACGACAGAAGACGGACGCCAAGTGATGAGAAAAGCTCACTTGGCCCATTTGGCCAGGTGAGCTAAAGGGGTGATAGCAAAGCATGAGTTGAAAAGGGCAGATAAAGTCGTGTTAAAAAAAACGAAAAACACATAAGCAGTTGTACTTAAAATTTAAAGTTTCAGGTACGCGTACAGTTAAAAAAAAACATAAGCACTTTTAAAGTATTATCCGATGAAAGCGTTAAGTAACTTATTTTAGATTACGGAAAAAGTTGATATTTACAAAATATCAATTATAATTATGTCAATGAAATGGCAAACAAATGGCTAAATAACTAATAAATAAACTCATCATAGATACCAGGATTGAAATTTTGACGCGCGTTTCTTCTAAAGAAGACTCACCAGTGACGCTCGAATAAAAAAAAATAGAAAAAAAAGGCCAAAGTACGAATTCAAAGAGACATCTACAGGTCAGCATATGGTTTTTTAAAAAAGAGAACTGTCCGTATTATCTCCTAGTCTAGATTAACAGTGGCATAGGAGTGGACACATTTTCATTTTTATTTTCCGTACTTATTTCTGTTTACAAAAAAAAGGGGGTATATCAATTGCCAAACTACGATTCCTACGCCAGTGAGTTATTCAATCTGACAGACTATTAAAGATCTTCTGTCTACAATAAATCTCTCAGAAAACAAAATATATGGAGTATGCATTTAGAACTCTCTGAACTGCATTTGAATATTGGACAATTATAAACAATTATAAATGAAGCATTTGTACTTCCAGAGATACAGTCAATTTACAGTTTGTGAAATAGACCTATCAATGTCTACAATATACTTAAAAAGCGGTGAAAAGAGGCATTATTTTCTTTTCCAATAGCTATTTCTTGACATTCCGTCCACTAAATGTCAATTGAAAAAAGTTCCGTTATTCAAAATAACAATGCTTATTTTCGATTCCCCCCACCATTTTCCTTCTCTGTTTTATCCTGTCTATATTCCATCTCAAGAAAACATTTTAGGTTGATAAGAAAAACTGGAGTTTTTAAGCCAAATAATAATATATCAGATATTGATGAATCCTCTTTTAAAGGCTGCTGGGTGCGCATATTTTAAATTTTCGCGATTTCGCGTTTTTCGACTTTGATATTTTATAGAGCGAAAATGTAAAAACTAGAAAAGGCGGCCTCCATAACTTTTATTTCCTATTGCCAATAACAACATTGTCATTCAATGAAACAATTAAAAAAACAGATACAATCATCGTGTGATTTTTTACATCCAGCCAAGAACTACACACAAACTCGTAGTGTGCTAAAACCGTATGTTTCGTGTTTAAGGCCTCATTGTGACTTAAAGATGAAAAACTGCAATAAAAGCGTTGTTCGTTTCCTTTTCGTTTTGTCAAGAGCGTATAAATCGCTTCAGACACATGCAAATAACGTGTTGTTTTTTGTTTTTGTTTAAACACTGGGTCGATACCTCTGCTTGTTGACTATCAGTCCCCGAGGGTATCATCAGCTCAGTAGTCATTTCTTCGGTACTAACATGATTTTTAACAGACCTTTCTAAAATTGTCCGTTACATCAATTTTGAAATTATAAAGAAACTATAAGGTTGCAATTCCCTCGGGCAAAGTTAATCTTAGATGGATTTGGCTATTTTAGGTCCTATTGGTCATATAGCTCTTCAACTGTTTCGGTTCTTGTACATTATTGGTTTTCAAATATTCGGCTTTAAGCATTCCTGGTGAAGGTTAACCTAGAAAAGTGCTTCGAACGCTTGCAAATTATAACGTGTTGTCTTCATTTTTTTTTGTAACCTGAATCAATAAACCATATATCAACATCTTCAATGATGCCATACCAGAAAATAAACACTCGTGTGGCGTTTTGAAAATTATTTTGTTCTTCTTTATAATTAGTAGTCATTAATGCTAATGTTTGTTTTGTGAATACTCGTTTGAATTGTTTTACATTTTCTATGCCACAGTCATTTGGTCTCCGGTGGAGAGTTGTTTCATTGGCAATTATACCACATCTTCTTATTTTAATAATGAATAAATTAGTATTAAAGTCGAGTGTTATTAGCCCATTACTTGGCGCCCGTCGGCTGTCGTCGTCATCTTTGTCGTTGTCCTTCGTCCGTCGTCCGTTAACTTTTACAAAGATCACCTCATCTGAAACTACTGGGACAAATTGAACCAAACTTGGCAACAATCATCAATGGGTATCTATTTTAATAAGTGTGTCCGATGACCCCGCTTGCCGACAAACATGGCCAACATGGCTATGAAAATAGAAAATAGGGGCAAAAGTTTTGTCTATTATCTTGAAAACCACTACAGATAGAGAAAAATCCGACAGGGCAAAAATGTTACGAATGTTGAGATCTATACTTATTGTCTATTTACATCAAAACTTTCAGACGACTTTCTTTGAATTATGGCCCTTTAATGACGATTTTTACGATTTTTTTGTGTTTTTGCCTAATATCTTACAAATTATTATACATAGAGAGAAACCGTTAACTCAAAAATGATCAGCAAGACAAGATCTACAATTAAGTCAACAATAATGAAATCGCCAGACAACTCTTTTTTGGAGTTTTTGCCGTTTAATGACGACTTTTACCAATTTTTTGTGTTTTTGCCTTATATCTTTAAAAATACGATAGCCAGCTAGAAACTTTAATCAGCAAAAATGATCGGCAAGACATTTTCTACAATTAAGGCATATGGAGGAAATAGTTTGAAAAATCCTTATAAGAGTTTTGACCTTTAATGACGATTTTTTACCATTTTTTGGCGTTTTTGCCTTATATCTTAAAAATAATAATAGATAGAAAGAAACTTAAATAAGCAAAAAATATCGAAATAGTCCGACGACTCCTTGTTGAAGTTATTACCCTTAGACACTTAAAATAACAAAAAAAAGATCAACAGGAGCAGATCTACAAATAAGTCATATTTTGCCGAAATAGTAGACCCTTTTAGGAGTGATTGTCTTTAAATGATAATTTCTTTTATCATTTTTTGTGTTTTTGGCAAAAACTAAAGAAGATAGAGAGAAACTGAAAACAGGAAAAATGATCACCAATACAAAATTAACAAAAATGAGATTTTTGTCATTAATTCTATTCTAGTCCACAATGTTGGAGAGTATCCATTGTTGAAGATGCACATTGACCTAGGTGAGCGACACAGGCTCTTAAGGGGCCTCTAGTTGTTACACTCATCTTTTGGATATTCAAATCTAGTAAACACGTTAATTTTAAAATGTTAGATCGGTGCTAAGCGGTTGTGATTGCCACTGAATTTTTTTTTTGTATGTGACGTTTAACTGGTCATAAAAGTAAGAGGAGGAAAGATGTCCAGTATAAAAGAAATGTTCACCTAGCCATTTGGTAGTGCTGAAAGTATCCTTGAAACACGTCACTGATTAAAGGTAAACACAATATGCAGAAAAGAGCAATGAGGGTATGGATGGGGATCCTTTATTTCTGTATTATTTTCTAACCGTTTAGGTCATTTTTCTTTTTTCTAAATATATTTTTTGTCCGTCATTCTCTTTTCTTTATATTTTAACACCCCATTGTAACATGAATGGTAATTTTTCCTTTGATCTTCAAGTGAGTTAACTTCTGTTATTTTTAGAAGCGTGCGTTAACTGAATGATTTTTTAGTTATTGCACTCTCCTATCCCGCCGTTTACCGCTTCTCGTTGGAATAGCAAAGAATGGGAGGAGCTTAAACCAGTGCTATAACTTCCATCTCAGAAGTTGTTAATGCACAGTCTGGCACCGCCTCTTTCGAGAAGTAAACAATGAAAGAATAAAACAAAATGTAATAGAAATGACTATACATTTTCATACTGTTATTTTGGTTGGATACCTGCTTTTATCGTGTCCAAAATTAATTATATTCTGCAAAATATATATCACTAGATGTTTAGTAATTTTCTCCAGTTTATTAAGGTCTCGTCTCCATCAAATATGTGTCCCTAGACGTAACACACAATCAACAACCAATGCAATCAATGAAGCGCCGATCTTTTTCCAGTCATTGGGAATGGAAGGATAGTATTAATTACCTTCATAATTGATGTTAGAAAACTTTTCCTTTTTATCACAACGTTAAAACTCCTTAAAACTACATGTCCTTTTCGGTCCCGTTTGAAGGCAGATAAACATCGAATAAAATAAAATTATAATAAAAGAATAAAATTTTGCATTTACACCCCCGCTGCGCTTTTCGTGAATTAAATACGTTAATTCGTAAAAGGCGTGCTATATATATAACTTATTCTCTATTCCTTATTTTTTTGCCCTTTTTTCTCTATTCTTTATTTTTGTGCAATTTTTTCTGTAGTATCGGTTCATTAAAATTCTTAATTTTGGTAAACCCTATTCAGACCCCCAGTTAAACGATACTTACAAGGAAGGAAATGACATATTTTAAGTTGAAAAAGAACTGAAAGAACCATAGCGAACACAAGACAAAGATGGAACAACAATTCTAAAATTGTACACAGGTGTTCTCGAAGTTTTATCAATTCCTACTTAAGTTTTAGCTTTTAGAGAACAGAATCAACCACGTGGTCACAAGAATCATTTTAATTCCAATGGTTTCAATTTTGAACGGTCTTCATTAATATTTGGCAAATCACGTGACATTGTTTTTCGGTTTGTATGAGAACTTCTTTTGTGTCTAGAACTTGATCGACTAAACTGATTCACAGCACTTTTAGTTAAATGACTAATTTGAGTTTCTTGTCGTCTTAGCGACGTCACCAATTCCTCGGGGTAATCAAGGTCGCCCATTTTTTTCTTTCGAACTTGAAACATATGTCCATGTTTCATGACTCTGGCGAGCTTTGGTTTTACCAATCTTACTCTGTTCATGTCTATTTTTGGAAACATTATTCTCTGAAGTTCGTCTGCAATATATCTATTCGTTGTCTCAATGCAGGTTGAGCAGGATGCAGGTCCAAGAACTTCGCAGAAATCATTACCAATCTGGCACTTCTTTGGGTTTGAAAGGGACGGGTACGAATTGACCTTAACAATACTCGGGTCTCTTTGAAGATCAGCCATCATCAGTTTAAACGGATTTGCCTCCCTTGTTTCTGGGCGGGGCATGCCATACCCCGGATGTGCCTTTGGTGCCGGGGCCTTATAAAAATGTCTCATAATGGCATTTTCAAACTTGGCATGGCTGTTGTCACGGAGATGTGCCTTAAGGATATATTCTCTTTCTACCTTTTGCTCGATATTATTGTTGGATGTTGCACTTTCACCAATAGCAGGCTTATCAAGAAATTGCATATCTTTTCCAGCAATGTTTTCTCCAGTTATGGAATACAGAGATCTGAAATGTAAAAAATTAGAAGCATTGAAGGTGGAATAAACAAACACATAGAAATAGCCTTTGAATTTGATTCTAATATGAAGCTCTTTGTTCGCTTTGTAAACAAAGCCATGTTCTAATTTCAGTAATATATAATGTGCACTTGCTTGACGACACAATTAAAATTGATATATGAAACAATATAACTACCTGCACATAAAAAAGACCCAAAGGAACAGCGCTCTTTATTGGTGTTCTTTAACTCATATTTCAACATATCATTCATTGCTAGATGATATCCACGCCACATCTGTGAATTACACAGCTGTAGAGTAATATGAAAAAAATAAGATAACATCGGGTAAATGAATCAAACAAATACTGCCATAAATTGCCAAACAATCTCACGGTAAAAAGTAAAATCACAAAAGTACTGAACTCCGAGGAAAATTCATAACGGAGTCCCTAATCAAATGGCAAAATCAAAACTGAGCAGCTCAAACACATCAAACGATTGGATAACAACTGTCATATTCCTGACTGGTACAGGCATTTTATTATGTAGAAAATGGTGGATTAAACCTTGTTTTATAGCTAGCTAAACCTCTCACTTGTATGACAGTCGCATAAAATTACATTATATTGACAACGATGTGTGAACAAAACAAACAGACATAATAGGTAAAAATGTCAAAAATAGGGGTACAGTAGTCAACATTGTGTTATAATCTTAATCACTATAAAACAAACAAATATGTAACAAAGAAGCACAAACAGGCATATAGACAAAGCACATTAGCAAAAATGAAAGACAAGAATACAAAAATTTACAATAGCACAATAACACAATATCAAAGAAACACAAAAAGGCATATAGACAAAGCACATTAGCAAAAATGAAAGACAAGAATACATAAATTATCATAGAACAATAACACAATGGCGGGATGTATAAGTACAGAGTCACGTCAAATGGATATCACCAAAAACAGACTAAACAGTAAAAGTAATATTCATAAAGATAAATAAAAAAATACTATAACACGTTATTAAGATGATAAACAACGTCAGTACCCAGAATCTATACTTCAAGACCATCGTGTATTATTTGTGAAGTTGATACGGAATATTTATCAACAAGGTCTTGGTACCTTCCGATGAACTTAGAAAAAGGACGAGACGTTCTTTGACATACCCCTGGTTCATCAACTTTCTGCTCAGACACTGGTGACGTTTTACAAAGTCTGAGTAGGAGCTGCAAGCTCTTGAATACCGAATAAGTTGGGAAATGTATATCCCATATGCAGATGAAGTTGGTATGTTGCTACTAAGGTGGGAGAAATTGATAATTTCAAAATTAAAATCGTCTCGTTTGTCATAGAATCTGGTACTGAGATGACCGTGTATGTCAAATTCGAGGTACAAGTCTAAAAATGAGGCGGAGGAAGCCGTGTCTGTTGTTTATTTAATTTCTAGTTCTAGGGGATATATTAATGGAACCCAATCAGAAAAGTTTGGATTATTAATAGAATGAACATCATCAATATATCTGAATGTGAAATTAAATGACCTGACTTCTTTGATCTTCTTGTTTTTGACAAGTGTCTGAAGGAACTCCGATTCATATGAAAATAAGAAGAGGTCGGCAAGGAGAGGCGCACAGTTCGTTCCCATAGGAATGCCGACAATTTGTTGAAAAAGTCTACCTCCAAATTCAACAAATATGTTGGCAATAAGAAACTCCAGCATACTGATCACATGTTCCTCTGTGTAGCATGTTTAACCTTTTTGTTCACAATTAACAAAATATGCCGTATGGTATCCCAAAGTAATAAATTTATAGCGTATGCTACCATTTTTATGTTGAAAAGCATGGTGGATTATTTCTTTTTTTCAATTTCACATGGGGAATGGTGGTATACAGGGTTGAAAAATCAAAAGTTTTGATAGAACTTATTTCAGAATAAGATCGAGATTTAAAATTATTAAGAAGTTCTTTAGAGTTTTTTAGAATCCGAATATGGTTAATACCACTACGCGAGTAAACAGTTTCACAGTATTTCTGAAGACCCTCTTTCACTGCGGACAGAATTTTTGTCAATCTAATGGACAATTTTTTAGTCGAACATGGAGACAAATTAAACGGCAATGTACCGTTGTGTGTACGGAATTTTGTGAAGCTTAGGTATCCAATACAAACAAGGTAAGTCCTCCGATTTGTTGTTCAATGTAATGTTCATTGAAGCCATGAAGGACTTATGATTCGCCAAAATCATCCTTGTCAAATGATATGTTTTTGTATATGGGATTACCTGAGTGCTCATTTATTCCTAATTCTTTTACAAGACACTCGTAGTAGTACGATTTACATACATAGACAATATTATTTGAAGCTTTGTCCGCAGGAACAACAACATACTTATCATGAAGAGATGATAGACATTTCACAGCCTCTTTGTCTCTGAAAACGGACTTTGGTCGATCATTCACACAGTTTTTCAACTTATGAATGCGACGTTTTGTCAGAGACCTGATTGTTTTGACCCATTCTGACAAAGTGTCCAGTTCAACTTCTTCTCGTTTAGCCCATTCTCTGGCGTAGTCCTCAATGGAATCCATAATCATTTTGAAGTTGTGTTGGGGTTCTCTAAACTTAGGACCATGAGAAATCACCTTTCGGAGATTTTCATGTTGAATTATGTTTAGATCCCCAGTAATAACATGGCCAGGGGGGCTGTAATTATAAGGCGAGAAATACATATAAAACCGAATGATTAACAGCGCAGTTAAAATTGTACACCCACAGCTTGTAAAAGTAACTGAAAAAGGAAACATTTACATTAATTTTAATTTATTTTTTGCAATTTTGATATCGGTAAGGTAGTATGCAAGCAACTGTCTTACCAAACAAGAAAGACCACGTCAAAGAGACCGTTCCACTTAGCTGGTAGTTGGTCATTGTCAAGATTAGAATTGTCACTTTCCAAATATATAAAGCCATTCAGTGTCTGTAAATTCAGTAGTCTTAATCGGAAGTACGTCTGATAGCTATGCGTCAAGTATTCATTAAACCTATATGAATATCGGAAGAGGCGAAGTATCTTTCAGACATTATTCCAAACAAGTTTGATTTGGAATGATCGAAATGGTGAAAAACATAAAGCTTCCGGGAATATTTTGAAATGTATAAAGTTGAATTATCACCAAATGAGGAAGTTTTGCAAGGTTTCAACATCATGTTTACTAAAAGGACCTTCCATATATATCAAGTTTAAGTAGATATGAAATAGTTTTCAAACTTAAATGCAAACATTTTTTAAATCATTATAACCAATTTTGACTACCATATGATAGTCGTAAAAAGCGGTACAGCAAATTATATAACTGATAAACTGCATGGGAAATGAATAATTCCACTCCAGCCGATGATAGGGGCCGTCTTAAACTTGCAGTGTGGTGAAAGATTTTTTTGTTCCGTGTTGAAAAATAAAGGCAACAGTAGTATACCGTTGTTCAAAGGTCAGAAATCGACTGAGAGAAAACAAATCCGGGTTACAAACTTAAACCGAGGGAAACACATCAACTATGAGAGGAAAACAACGGAACAACAGAAACACTGAAGTGCAACAAAAATGAACGCAGATAGAAACGGACTATTTGATAACAACTGCCATATTCCTGACTTGGTACCGGACACCTTAAGAAAAAATGGTGGGTTGAAAGCCTCGCTGTGACTTTGAGACGAATAACAGCAACAAAAGCGCTGTTCCTTTGCTTTTTATGTGCTTTTTTTGCTGTGTGTGTACTGATTTTGTGTCATGGATGGATACCCCATATCTGCTTCTCCCTATTGCTTGTAATTTTTAGCGAAACAGGCAGAAATCACAGCAAGGGGAACAACTCTATAAGCAAAACGGGGGTTTCAGAAATTATTTTCTTGAAGTATAATATTTGAGATTTTTATTCCTTACACTTACTTTTTGTCTTGAACATTGCTCTTTCGTCGCCTGGTCTTTTTGACAGTTGCTACATCGTCTTCTTTCTGTCCTTGTGCAACTTCCTGTTCCCATAAGGGTCCAGAAGAGTACTGACGCCGGCCCAAACTCAAACTTGAACTTTCGCGAAAAATATCCCCTTTTTCTGAAAGTTGAATAAGCCCAACAGATGCTCGGCGCTTCTTGTTGACATATTGCTCGAGATCATTGAGATCACTAGGAGCAAATATCTGACTCGTAGAGCCTCGTCTTCGCCTCAGGTAGGCCTCAACACCAGGAAGTGAGTCTACTGAATTTCTTCTATTTATCACTTGAGTCCTTGTTGAGGAAATGCTGGCAACGCTACCAACATCAGACATCTACAAACAAAATCAAACTTTGAAAAAATGTTGTTTTCCCCAGCCCAAGCATACTTTTCGAACACAGGGAAATCATGAAAGCGTATACCGAGAAATAACAGAGAGGCCGTGTGTAATACGTGTTGTATCTTGTGTGTATAGGAGAGGCGGTGTGAAACCTTGGAGTGAAGGAAAGGCTTTAGTTGAGGTGAAATTTAAAAAAAAAACACACAAAAGGTTTGCTAACATAAACGCCAACAAAACTATACTTCATGATTTACTAAGATTTTGATTAGTCATATTTTCTTATTGATTTGTTTTCTATGACGCATCTAGAAAAATATGTCACGGATATCGAAGAATTGGTGTATTAATGTTTTGAAACAAAAACTTAAAATTTGATCGTCAAATATTAATTTTTAAATGATTGTTTACTTATTAATTTCAACTATTTTCAAGGTCATAGAATAAAACAATTACCAACGCGTAAGTAAATGGGCAAAAAAGAACATTTAAGTATGGTCCTATGCATATTACTAGCTTAGATTGGTCCAGGCGGTCGAGTTTGTCCCATATACTGCTAACAATGATGCTTATTGTATGAAGGTATACGAGGCTCAATGACAGATCCGGCCGAGAGAGGGAAGATGAGGGGATTCCCCTACTTGACCGAACTTTTGGTGTGAAAGCTCAATTCTTATAGACAATTTTTTTAATTTCTAAAATGTTATAGATCATTGCCAATCACACCACGTCTTCTTATTTTCATATTTTCAAATTTTCAAATGTTTTGAATACTTGTACATGTTATAATTTCCACAAAAAATTATAGATAAATTTTGAAATATACATTTTCTGATTGTTGACTGCTAGTCCACCTCCTTCCGGACCCCTTAAGAAAAGTTTTAAAATCATGAAACCATCACTATGGCTGGCCCATATTTCATATAGTATTCGATCTGTTATAAAAATAATGACAATAATAAACATGATAAAACATCCTTAACAACAATAATAATAATAATGAAAAAATAAACAAATAGAGAAATGAAATAAATTACCTCTATGTTTTTCTTTCATATCCATTTGTACCACTTAAAACATGGGAGATTAAAAACTAACGGATTTTAAACGAAAATCTTTTCATGATTGCTAATATTCATCTGTAGATTTCGGTTAATACAAGATTTGGATAATCCGGATTAAGTATTTGTTTAATAACATAATCAGTACACTAATTTACTTGTTATGTTTTAATTCATAAATTCAGACAAACCAGAATTATTTACAAAATTAACTAAATATGAACACTTGTGTATAGGGGATCCACTCGCCTGACAGTGACCGCGCTATAATTTTATGAAATATGAATGCACAGTAAAGTTCAACAGTTACTGTCTGCCTGTCACAGCAGGTAACAACTTTCCTGCACCGAGAAAACGAACCTCGATTGACAATATCTTTAAATCACACAACCGCCAAAACCATAGCACGAAATAATGAATTGACGTTATTCTAACCATGGAAGTATATTCTTGACCGGTCAATATAATACTTCCATGTTCTAACACAACCAATGAAAACATCTAACCTTTTAGAAATACTCAACACTTTTTTTATTTATAATCAATGTTTACATACTAGTGAACATAACATTTATAAATATATTCATGTTTAGAAACTATACCTTACCAATGAAGGAACATACAGTCAAAATTAAAACGGTGCCACAAATAATTATATATAGGCAAACAAGCGTATGGTTAACGTGACAGCAAACCAACTTGGCTCTAAGATTATGGAGTATATTTTTGATATTTCATGTTAAAGGTATTTCCTTACAATTACATCGACAATATAGAATACAGTACACATAATTATCCTGTCAAGTAACCTTATAGGTCCTTTTATAGCTGACTGTGGTATGGGTTTTACTCATTGTACATTCAACTTCTAGAACCTGTCTTTAAAAATTTTCTTGTTAATTTGTTTGCTCTTGAATATGCATCAAATATTTGTCACTGTGCGTTAATCAAACATCTGTCATTCTTTTCTTTATTTTAGATAAATAATAATACATAATTGTCATATAAGCATAGACTAATACTTGTGATTAAGGTAAATCACACAAGATGACAAAACTGATTTGGATACATATACATGTATACAGATGCTAAAAAATACGTAAAACTCCTCGGTGCTCAGCTCAAAAGACTGTTTTATAAAGCAACCTGTTTTTCCCTTGATTTATAACTCAGGGCTTAAGCAGGACCACTAGTTTTTCGATATTAAAAAGATTTGCAAAAATATGATGATCGTCAGCATTCTCTAAAAAATAAACGTAGATTGTTATTATGTTGACAGTATAAAAGAAAGTGGTATTAATCTTCTACATGGTTTTACAGGTTTGACACTCATACGAGATTAAGTTTTAGGGGCAACAGTAATTGTTTTAATATTGCTACTGCGCGTTTAACAATTTATCTATCAAATTAAAGGTAACGCCAGTCGCCAGTGATATTTAGTAATGGTGGACAAATAGTGATAAGGTGTATACAATTTAAAAATAAACACAAGACACATTATATATAAAATAAGGAGATGTGGCATTATTGCCAATAAGACAACTATCAAAAAGAGTCAATATGACGTGGATATAAGCAACTATAGGTCGCCGTACGGCTTTCAACAGTGAGCAAAACCCATACTGTATAGTAAGCTAAAAAAAACGGAATATGACAAAATGAGAAAAAATTCAACCGAAAAAGTAACAGTCTTGTTTATGATAAAACAATAAACGAAAAACAGATATAAAATACAGCAACCAACGATAACCAATGAATTACAGGCTCCTGACATGCATGGGGCAGGCACTTTTTAACATATGTGCGACCCACTAACCTGGGACTGTGGTGTTACAGGACAACATAAGACCAAACTATAAAAATCAGTTGAAAATTGCTCGACTCATCAGATCGGCACGAAACACAAAAACAATGACAAAAGAGACACAGTGCCGATCTAAGAGTACTATCATTGACTGGACGCTAGTTCATAGCCAATAAAAAAAAACCTTTAGGTAATACAATGTCTACTGATTACAGAAATGAACGATGAACAGATTAAAGAAGTCATCTAAATACAGAAAGTTTCAACAGTAGAATCATTTTTATGAGAACTTTACAGAATGAGCGCTATTTTTATCGACAAAGAAAAATGCCCTAACCATTTACAGAATACTAAAATTAAGGACCCCAAACCAGACCCTCATAGGCGAAATGGTAAAAATTGACAGTGTACATGAGATGGTTCAGTTAAAAATCACTTTGAGAGTGATCACAGTGAATACCGGTGAATGTGGGAGATTTTTTTATTTTTTTTTTTTGGGGGGGGGGGGGTATCTCTTAGAGTGATCACAGTGAATATGGGAGATTTGGAGTGAAATATCTCTTAAAGTGATCACAGTGAATACCGGTGAATGTGGGACATTGGGAGTTAAATGTCTTTGAGAGTGATCACAGTGAAGTGGGAGATTCGGAGTGAAATATCTCTTAGAGTAATCACAGTGAAAACTGTTGAATGTTGGAGATTCGAAGTGAAATATCTCATAGAGTGGCTAAGAGTGATCATCACAATGAATACTGGTGAATTTGGAAGATTCAGAGTGAAATATCTAGAGTGACCACAAGATGTTTCACATGATTTTATTGCATATATCTTTTTTAAAATTTCTTTTATTTCAGTTCGAAATTCCTTCTCCGTGCGCTATTGACACTCAGCATGCTTTGTTTCGTATTGAAGGTCGATGCCCGAGAATTTTATTGAATAAGCGTGACGATTCCATTGGCAATCCAAAACGATAAGTAGAAGAAAAGCAGAAACCCCAAAAAGATAAGTCGATGACAAGCAGACAAACAAAAACGATTAGTCGACGAAAAGCAGACAACCCAAAACGATAAGTCGACGACAAGCAGACAATTCAAAACGACAAGTCGACGAAAAGCAGACAACACAAAACAATAGGTCGACGAAAAGTAGAAAACAACACAAAACGACAAGTCGATGAAAAGCAGACAACAAAAATGATAAGTCGACAAAAAGTGGACAACACAAAAGCCAAAATATAAACGAAAAACAAACAGACAACAGACTACTAAACACTACACTTTCAGTATCTATAACCCAACTATAACCCGAGGTGAACTTAAGTGTACTGGGGAGGACAACAGTTCCTGCTCCACTATCGACGCTTGTCATGATTATTCTTTTACAGTCCGTTGATAAAGTATAAAATCCGGTGAAAGGATATCACGTATAAATGGATCGGTAAATGTCTCTAGTGTTACCCTGAGACACTAACAAAGTCAAAAATCATCGGTAGGGTAAATGTCTATGGTGTTACCCGGAGACACTAATAAAGTTATAAATCATCGGTAGGGTAATTGTCTGTGGTGTTACCAGAAGACACCACAAAAGTCATAAATCTACGGTAGGGTAAATGTCTTTGGTGTTACCCGGGGACACTATCATGGTCATAAATTTTCGGTAGGGAAAATGTCTTACTATCCACAGCGACGATCACTTATATATAGTATATAAAACCGCTGTGGATATTAAACTTGGAATTGAAGGTAAACAGCAAATATATACGTTATTTCTAGCATGTTCATATAATACAGAAAAAACGCGAAAATAATTGAAATTAATAGAAAACAAAAAATTAACGGATTTTTGAAAAAAGGGGGAGGGCTAAAAAAAAAATTCTGTCCCCAAGTATTTTTACTTTATATGTTCCGACCATTTGCCTTTTTAACAACACCTGCAACCAGTCTGACGACAGTGTAGAAAACATCTGCGCTAGCCAAGGGTTACGATCAAGTCCCCTCCTCTCCACAGAGGAGGGGACTGGGTCGTAACCCTTGGCTAGCGAAGATGTGTAGAAAAATGAAAAGTAGAAAAGTATTATTTTTTTTACTTCACTATTCTTATTAAACAATATCTTCCCTGAATGAAATAAGACAATTTGAATCTGTTTATCGATATAATGCAATAAAGGGGAGACAATCCGACTTCCCATGTTAAACAATCTAATTAAAATATAGAACTCGGATTTCGTTATACTACGTAGTATAACGAAATCCGAGTTTTATATTTTAATTAGATTGCATTTTAAATTCCCCGAAATAAAAAAAAAGTAATTCTAGTATCCTTTTTTCCCCTTTCATTTGATGCATATAAAAACAACTTAACTTATATTTATTTAATTATCTAAAATGTAAACATGAAAATACTAAGTTTTAATTTATCATTTTTCATGAAGAACTAATTTTGTAAACCAAAAAATTGTGTTTAACTTTTCCAAATGTCAAATCTTTAAAATATCTTAATTGTTGCCTATCTGATTGATTGTTGAGCATGGAAAAGATTGAATGAGGATAACTACAGTCTATCTAAAAAAAATCTGCATAGGTGAAAGGTCGCCCTCGTAGGTGACCCGCCTACACTGTGGGAAGCCTGGATTGCAGTGATCTGCCTGCACCCTAACATAATATTATGAATGTAATGAAATAAACAAATATTGTGCTGGATCACCACTGTCCCAGGTTAGGGGAGGGTTGAGCGCTCACAAACATGTGCACATAGGTTGTGCTGATACAACACTGTTCCAGATTAGGGGAGGGTATGTGTCTGTCCCAAGCCATGCAGGAGCATGTAGATCAGTGGATGTCGTTGGTTCAACATGTTCATGTCTGTCATACTTGTTTTTCGTAAATTGTTTTGTTATGAATTAGGCCGTTGGTTTTCACTATTGAATTGTTTCGTAGTTTTCATGTCGGGGCCTTTTATATATAGCCGACTATATGGTATTGGTCTTTCTCATTGTTGCTTATAATTGCTTACCATTCACTTCATTTGAACTTAGGCGGATAGTTGTCTCATTGGCAATCATACCACATATCCATTTTTTTTTTTATAAAGAACAAAAAAACAAAAAAAACCCAATATGATAGGAATATCAAAGATTCATTCATCGTTTTTATTTGATATGGTGTTTGACTTATTCAGTTGAAGATGAATGCTACTTTTGCGACGGTTAAAAAAGTATAAAGAATTAAAACATAAGTTAGACGGACATAGTGCAGATTGAAAAAAAAATTGTCAAACGAGTAGAAGCAGAGAGGTTAACAAATATGTTTTTTTTTGTGTGGTAACAATGTGCCCTATCATACTTGCGGCTATATGCTATTTAAATAATATGCTAAATGTTTATTATTATTTTCTTCTTTCATTAACTTTTGTTTGGCAAGATTTGTTTTTATTGGTAGAAAAAAAGATTGCAACATTACAAAATTCCAGTGTACCCGCTAAGCCATGCATGTTCCCGTTGTGTTGGGATTAGTACAACACAGTATATATTATCTCATATATGTTATTCGTGGTATCGTGTTAACAAAAAAAAATAATCATGATCATTTTAACATCATGCCAAGAAATCCTCGCTAAAAATTCCGGTCTACCTCCTACGGCACTTATTAATAGCTAAAGATTTGATTTCATTCAACAAATTAATTTATGACCTTCATGTACGTGTCGCTTAGAACACGGCCATATACCAAATGGTCAATATTAATCATCGATGTAATTTGCTCTATGGGGTGTTTGCAGAATTTCAACGGAGGCAATTTCTTGGCATGGGAGAAAGGAAGAAAGACCATTCACAATTTGTCTTACGTTTGTTTTTCTCTTTTTTAATTAAATAAAAAAAAAATAATAAACCGTTCAAATGTAGAGTTCATAAGATAAACATATTCCCTGTGGAACACCTCCCCTCCCCCTTTTTTTGTACTCTCTATTTTCAACCCTCGAATTAAGCTTTCCAATCTAATTAAAATTAAAACTTTGCTTTCTAACCAATCTATTCATGTACCGGACCGGCAACTTTCTTTATTTAATACGAAAATCTGCAGTGCCGTTATACACATATGCATGCATGTTGTTTGCTTGGAGTCTCCGCCCGAAAAGAAAGAAATAGCCTAAACTCCAAGATACTATATTCCTGCATCACGTGATTTTTACCACGTGGAGCTTACATTTGAATAATTAAATATGGAAAGTGAAACTACAATTCAAAACATAAAGTCCGAAGGCACAAATAAGAAAAAGAATGGTTTTTTTTGCAAAGGGTGCCGGGATAATTCTCTCTGTGTTCAAAATATACCATGACGAAATATTTGCCACTGCCCCTTTTCTGTTCCATGAATTCTAACCCTGAGTTTTCTATCTGTAACATGCCAAGAAATCCTCTATGGGGTGTTTGCAGAATTTCAACGGAGGCAATTTCTTGGCATGTGCACGGTATATTAAAACATAATCATATGTGACTGTTGATGGGATTGATATTCATTGCCAATTATTATAAATTTCAAACTGAAAATAACTTTCATCTGCCCATTGGCATCTCAATCATTGTCAATGAATATTCAGGGTTTAGGACATAACAACATGACTACATCACAGCTGAAAATTAGCATTTGTTTAAAATATTTTTTTTGTCGAATCACTAAAATTTTGTTTGAGATCGATCTTGCAAATCTCCTGATCATAATAAATATGGGTATAAAATATATTTGTGATATCCTTGACAATTTCATTTTAAATCGGTTTTAAAAATTGTGGATTCCCGTACGGTTTGACGTAAAACCCCGAGAATCCCACCTCAAAATTTAAAGTCAGTCTATAGACACTACAGTGGATTTTACACTATTATTTGGTCAAATAGATATATAAATTATAATGAAAGAAAAAATACGGAAATCATTCGAAGCTTTTCGGAGGTTCAGTGTTTACAGGCACTTGTTCCCGAAGAAAAAAACCTATTCTACCTTAAGGTATATTTTTTGAGAGACAATTAATAAGTGCCTGTGCCTGTGTTGCCTAAATTGAACATTAAATGTTCATTTTAAAGAGCAAAGAAGCGCTTCCGGATTTTGTTGACAGTTGTCGAATCTGTTGTTACTGTTAGTTATATATATTTGATATGTAAGTTCTGGTAGGTACTTACTGAAATTGTATGGTTATGCCTATTCAAAGACAGTTTGATTTTTTCTAGACTATATTTTACTTAATCTCGGGTGCTAAAAATCAGGTAACACAACATTCTTAATTCTTTACGATAAATCTTATCTTTCAGCCACTAATGGCACTATAGTCTATACCTCAATCATGACGTCTTGAAAGGATATTTTATTTTCATAATTATTTGGACTACTAGCTGACCAGCCCAATGCACAGGGGTTTGTTACTATTTGCCGGGTTTTTACTATCAAAAGATTTTTTAGGGGTTCCCATGGATAGTAAACTCGGCAAATAGATTTTTAAGGGGTTCCCATGGATAGTAAACACGGCATATAGTAACAAACCCCTGTGCCCAACGTTAATTTTTGAAGAAGGAAAACGGTCATTTTCTATAACATAACTATTGCAATTTGTTTTTATGCCCCCGCCGTAGCGGAGGGGGCATTAAGTTTTACCTTTGTCCGTCTGTACGTACACAAAAATTGGTTTCCGTTCTCTAACTTGAGTTTGCCTCAACCAAATGTTATGAAACTTATACACAATGCTTATTATCACAAAATACAGATTAAGTTTGAATTTTGGTAGCGTCACTCTAACCGTTCTAGAGTAATGCCCCTTTATAAATGGAAAAATTCCAAAATTTTTAGTTTCCGTTCTCTAACTTAAGTTGCCTCAACCAAATGTTGTGAAACTTATACACAATGCTTATTACCACAAAATACAGATCAAGTTTGAAATTAAAGATGCAGAAATTATTGACCATGAAATTCATAAAATCATATTTGATCATATGTAGACAACAATACTTGATCGCGTTTGAATAAACATTTTAATATATTAAAAACAAAGCTGATTGTAGTAAGGCATTAATCATAATAATCAATATTTTATCAACAGAAAAGACCAGGATACATACCAAATGAGTGTAGACTGACAGGCCTTCAAGACTGTGCCTCATGTGCAGTCTAATGAGCCTTTGGCATTGATGAAAACTAGAAATGAAGTCCTGTGACATGACTAGAATTAGTTGTTCTCGACTCATATTTTTGAAAAGGATATCAAAAGTTATAAATTAAATCCTGTTCTATATTGTTTTAATTCATTTTGTTCATTGAATTAACTTAAAATGCAAAAAAGGTTAATATAAAGATATTTTTTGGACAAGTTACAATTCTGTTCAGACAAGTAAGTTTTGGTATGCACTTGTCCTATTGTACAAGTTGAAAAAAAGTTATTGTAGAGGCCTGTCACTTTAACCATTCACGAGTTATGCCCCTTTATAAATGGAAAACAATGCAAAATTTTTAGTTTCCTTTCTGTAACTTAAGTTTGTCCCAACCAAACATTATGAGACCTATACACAATACTTATTACCACAAAACTCAGATCAAGTACAAATTTAGTAGTGTCACTTTTATCGTTCTTGAGTTATGTCCCTTTATAATGTTGTATGCAAGCGGGGGCATCATCTGTGTCCATGGGGACAAATTCTCCATTTATTTTATTCATATTTTGTTTCACTTTGTTTTCATGATATTTGAAACAATATATCCATGGTGTTACTGGTTACATGTGAAATGTAAATATCAATTTATTTTAATATTTTGAAAATTTACATTTTTATACATGTATACGTACATGTAACTAATTGGCTTCCTTTGACATTTTTATTGCCATACAACATACTTTTAAAAGTAAACAAATTTTACTTTCCTCTACAATATTGCATTTTTATCACAATAGTGTTAGTCAATCGCTTAATCAATTTCTTTTCTCTTATGGATGCACTTATGTTTTTGCAATGGTGAGTCAAGTCAAAAAGTCATGGGGAGTCCAGACTCCAGGACACATTTACGACCCTAACAATTCAAGAACCCAGGTTTTTTCTCCTTTTTTCGAGCACCAAAAATGTCTTTATTGTAAAACTGTACGAAATTGTGGTACCAAATTTCAACATAAAACTCCTGGCTTGTCTAAGCATATATATAAGCTGTATGTATAATTAGCAAAACTTTTTTTAAGATGATACAATTAAGATATTGAGGCTGCTTTGAATAGTACTTGGGACTATCACACATTTATATATTAGACCTAACTTAGTGTTACAGCAAATTGACATGATAGCTGTATAAGTTTGTGTTATGATTTATATGAGATACATTTACTAAATGCTCGTAATTAGAATTCTGTGTATATACATGTACATAAACATATACATGTAGTGATAAAGTTACTAAAAGTACTATTGTTTGCCTGTTTGTCTTTTTCATTTTTAGCCATGGCATTGTCATTTTATTTTCGACTTATGAGTTTGAATGTCACTCTTGTATCTTTCTCCTGTCTTTTATTCAAAATTGATAAACAATTGTGTCATACTTATAGCAATGTTGCAACAATGCAAAACATGTTAATAAGCAATGTAGATTTTTTATCTATATCAAATAAAAAATAAATATTTGACTAAAAATCCAACGATCTATTTAGTCTACATGTACAGTCAAGGGTCTAACTTAAATAAGTTATTAGAGAAAAATAACATACATGTCGTTATTGTGGGCTAAAATATAAAAAAATCTGTGATAACATATGTATGTTACATGTTTCAAAGAGGCAGTATACATCCTTTACTTTGTTAAATTGTATTCAAGTTCTACTGGTATTATTATTTTCTTTATGTATACTAAACTTTAGAAAGATATAACAGTTTATAATTTGCCAATCATGTATAGTACACCTATGTTATTACAGAAAATATATGCCTGTAATAACTAACAGGTGTTATTACAGCTTTTCTACATCTCTTCAAAGCCATTTCTCAGACATATATCACAATATATTTTAATTCATTGTAAGAAATAATGATCAGAGCATGTAATGAGGTTCTGAGCAAGCTTCCCATTAATTCCCAAGTGTCTCATTTTATAAGTTACATGCCTGTAATAACTAAGCCTTGTTATTACAGCTTAGTGTATCCCTTAAAAGCCTTGTCTCATTGATTTACCATGGTTGATCAAAAATGTATTAATTGAATTGGAAGATTAATTATCAAGGTTATGCATTAAGTATCTGCGCAGAGTTTCAAGAAATCCCAAGAGCCCACTAAAAATAAAAATATATTTTGATATATTAACTAATAACAAACATATGTTACTACAGATTAAGAAATAAAGAGCAGACAACTCATGAAAGTATCTGTAATAACATATGTATGTTATTTTTCTCTAATAACTTATTTAAGTTCGACCCTTGACTGATGTACATGATGTACAATGTATATGGTACACAATACCATTACGGCATACACACAGTTGGCCTAGTATATGGTACGAAAAAGCATACACCATTGTACATTGTATATGAAATTGCATACATTTGTACATATATAGATCATCCAGACCATAATCTTGCCGGCGAAATGACGATTTAAGTCGCCAAAGAATTTTGAAAATCGCTAAATCTCGCCGGCCGACTGACTTCATAGCAAAGTCAAATCGCTATCAAAATCGGTAAAAGGGAGACAACTTGTGATTAGGAGCGTCTTTTTACCACAGAACACCACAGAACACCCAAAATTTACCACAGAACTTTGAAATATTAATACTTCAGACATTATTACCGTGTTATTGTTCATTCTTTTTGTAATTTGACATTTATTATTCAAATAAATTTAATTTTTCTATTTAGGGTCGACTCACTATCGCTACGCCCCCAACTGAATGGCCAATAATTGGGATCATACCAAAAACCCCTAACTATTAAAACCATAATATACAAAGATTATTTATATTTTAAATACATTTTTATCTTTTTTGTAATTTTAAATCATTTTTGAAAATGTTTAGATGCATTACGTAATTATTTGTTAAATTTATTTTGTTTACCAGTTTTTTTTTGTCACTTTTTTATACGACCGCAAAAAAATTTTTGTGGTCGTATATTGGTATGACGTTGGCGTCGTCGTCGTCCGGCGTCATCGTCGTCGTCGTCGTCGTCGTCGTCCGGCGTCGTCCGAAGACACATTGGTTTTCGCACTCTAACTTTAGTTTAAGTGAATGGATCTTTATGAAATTTTACCACAAGGTTCAATACCACAAAAGGAAGGTTGGGATTGATTTTGGGGGTTATGGTAATAACAGTAAAGGAATTAGGGGCCAAAAAGGGGCCAAAAATAAGCATTTTTGTAACTTCCAGACATAACTTGTGTGTAAGTGTATGGATCTCTCTGACATTGTACCACAAGGTTCCATATCACTAAAGGAATGCTGGGATTGATTTTGGGGGTAATTGCCTCCAAATTTTAGGAATTAGGGGCCAAAAAAGGGGCAAAAAACAAGCATTTTTCTAGTTTCATGACAATAACTTGTGTGTAAGTGTATGGATCTTTCTGAAATTGTACTACAAGGTTCCATATCACAAAGGGAAAGCTGGGTTTGAGTTTGGGGGTAATTTCCCTAAACGTTTAGGAATTTGGGGCCAAAAAGGGGCCAAAAAACACATTTTTCTAGTTTCCAGACAATAACTTGTGTTCAAGTTTATGGATCTCTCTGAAATTGTACTGCAAGGTACCATACCACAAAGGGAAGGCTGGGATTGAGTTTGGGGGTGATGAATCATAATGGGGGTTCAAAAAATTTTGGGGGGGGATTTATTTTTTTTTCATTTTTTTTCTTTTTTTCCTTTTTTGTTTCTTTTAAAATTTTCCATTTTAAGTTGGTTATTTCTGATTTATATTTAAAATCAAATAATAATGATATGGTAGGAGATACACACCAAACAGGATGTGTGAATTATTATATAATAAGTATTGTGCAATAGCAAGAAATTTTCAATTGCACAGTATTGCACAATAGCAAGAAATCTTCAATTGCACAGTATTGCGCAATAGCAAGAAATCTTCAATTGCACAGTATTGCGCAATAGCAAGAAATATCCAATAGCACAATATTGCGCAATAGCAAGAAATTGTCAATTGTA